CGTAGAGTTTTTGGAGAACCATACACCGTCTGGGGCTTGCTGCACACGGCCCCAGATGTTGACTGGTAGGGCAATCGAAGGAAAACGGAGTTGGGCGCAATGTGGCTCGAGTGGAGCAGGTCATCCCGCGACGCGCGGCATGCTCGCGTACTTCAGTGCGGAGCAGAAATCCGTGAGCCAGAGGATGTGCAGCCAGTTTATGGGGTGAGGCGAGTTACTTGACCTGCGTGAAAAGGTGGAATGTTCGAGTTTACACTAGCTTTCGCTTAGGGAGCGCGAATGTGCCGCGCGCCGCGGTGGCAGCTAGCTCCCCTGAACCGCATTGCGCCCGGAGTATGATGAGGTTTTCCTGAAGCTTCAAAAATCCTCCGCTAAATCGGAGAGTATTAGACTGTTCTGGATTGTAGCTATGTTACTGTATTGCCTTCAGAATAAATACAAAAAAGCTTGAAAGGGTGAGGGAATATGCGAACAGATTCGATGTCGCAACACTGACATGCATGTGTGTCAAACAACCCATGAAGCTTTCGAGGTTCAACTCACATGCGCGTCGGCCTGTCGTCGATGTGGTAACGAAACCATTTCAAAACCTGTAATATCTGCATACTCCCCAACAGCTAATAAAACCAAGAAGTTCAAACAGTTCACAAAACGAAATTCCAAAACAAAATTGATCGAGAAAAAACCGTAGAAGTGAAGCCTCTTGCTGTATAGGAAATGCTGATTCTGTGGTTTCCGGTCGATGGCCTGTTTTTTTTATATGCTCCCCTGTAAGGTTCAGCGGCCTACAGATTTTTTTGTTTTGTTTTATAGTTGAATAAAAACTTGGACATTATAGTATGCGGCATGTTTCCTTTTTTGTGAGCAGCAAATGCTTTTACTTGTCCAGTGGTGACGCCGGAGGGGCTGGGCTATACTTATACCGTTATACTACGAACTCGAACGTGCCAATCGCTCAGACTCATCCTGATTGCTGCAATTGGTACGGACTTCGCAGCAGACCAACACGTAATCTTTCTGCGCACATCAGGGTCTGCAATCGAACCATCGCTTCGGCTGAACTATAACTGCTGCCAAAGGACTAGCATACATCATTGTTTCTGACATGTTTTCTTTCGCTATAGCAAACGCTTCCGACAGCGCCCTAAAGAATCCTTATTTGTATAAACGACTTTCAAGGCTGGTGTCAGAGTCTGCGATCCGTCGCAGGTTTCGCTGATTTTCGCGATTTGCGTCACGCGTTTTGCGCGATCTGCGCGATTCACGCGACGCGGGTACGCAAAGTTGCAGTGTGTGTACAGTGACTGAATGTGAAGAATAAGTGGATAATGAGCGTGTCAGTCAGCCGATCACATCAAGCAGAGTGGCGGTGCAGAGACCTTGCCAGTATGGACTGCGTGGCACTTGTGATTTCCGGGACCCGTCGCGCAAATCGCGAAAATCAGCGAAACCTGCGACGGATCGCGGACTCTGACACCAGCCTAATAGGGAAGAAGGAAACGGTAGATGTTATGTCAATTTTCCGGCTGGACGTTGGTAGCAAAACACCGCGTGGCCAACTTTTTACGAAGTTGTCTACAGATTTTGGTTCAGGCTAAAAAATGAAAAAGAAAGTCAATGTAGGGCATATGAGAAAGGCACTTGGCTAAGTTATGGAATAAGCTCAGGCTTTTTTCAAAGCAGAACGGCTCATCGCTGACCAATGCAGCATTGCACGTGGTCCTTGCTTAGGATCGATACGTTGGCGCGTGCCTGTCTGGGAAGTCTGTTGGCTTTGTTTGGAAGTAATTCTTAGATATCTAGACAGGAATAGCTGGGTATTCCGTGTAACAGTATCTACAGCATGTCTTTTGCTTCCATTACATTAAAATCAAAATTTTATTTACATTGTCTTCTTTGGACCCTTTTTGCTTTCGGGCGTAGAAGACTCGGGACCATGAGGCTGGGTCCAAATTGACGTAGGTTATCAGATTCATGGAGATGTGTTCTCGCAATTTGTAGCCGCTTTCCAGCTTTCCGTCTAAGATGTTTCTTAATGTGTTAATCAATTCTGCTCATTTTTCTGCTCTTGTGTGACTTTGTCGCTTGCATAACAGCATCATGAATGTTAGACATTAAAGCGATTGTGCTTCAGAGAAAAAGTCAACAATGGAAAGTAAGGTCTTCACATAACGAATTTCTATCGCAAAAGCGATCTCAGTAATGTTGTAAGTCTAACCTAGGAAGGTAACTTTTAGGAATCGTCAAGTCGTTATTAATCTCCTGTGTGATATGTTTTTGAGTATATGTTGTATAACCTTTAAAATCTATAACACTCAAATCACATCACAATGACATATCTTCCGTATTCAGCGAATTGATGATGAATATGAAGATGGAGATCAGAGGGCAAGCACGTGCAATACGATCCTACCAATTGTAACTACAGGCCGCAACATGCTGTTTGGTGGTGGACCAAATAATACGGAGTCTTCTCCATTGCAAGTTTTCGCTCTACTCTTTCTCTTCAATTTCTGATTTGTTGAAGCTTTCAAACTTAAATCAACTAGTCTACAATTTTTTATGGTTTTTGGCTGTTGAATCCTCTTAGGCTGGTATCAGAGATCCATCGCGCGATGGATCGCGGACTCTGACACCAGCCTTACTGCTTTTTGCGTAGAATGGCTAAGGTTTGCTGCAAATTACGCTAGTCGAAAAAATATCATGTGGTTCGTGATGCGGACTCAAGGTCTGCAGGAACTGTCCTTGGCCCATCATTGATTGCGTTCTTAAAACATGCTTCGGGTATTTTTCGCTATCAATACTTTCAAATATGTATGAATCTTTCAACTTAAATTTTTATGATACTGCCCTTTTACCACAAGGGAATGGCCGGCATTTTTTGAGTTCGTTTTGGATCTAGTGCACAGCAAGGGTGTGGCTGGCTAAGACAGAAAGCCACTTTTTCGCCTTCCCTGGCGCGAACATTTTCGCTGAAACCACGGGCCCGTTTGTAATCGTAGGTAGACCTGAGGCTCCCGCAGCGAAAGATGTTTCGCACTGTTAGAAGCGAAAAACTCACTTTCTGTGCTGGCGAACCCCATTCCATAGACAATAATCTTTATTGTTGAATTGTTATAGAATTTCGGGCTCATCGACACCGGCTGAAGGCTATCAGTCGCCGCCCGCAAGCCATGCTATAGGATCATCAGTAAATGATGAAACTGGTCGTCACACGCCACCTGTTATGTCATCGTCGACTCCGTCATTCTGCGCAGCGATGGGACCATATAGAGAATTTGGACAGGGTCCGTTGTTTCACTATTGTACATATCAAGATGTTTCGTTTATTTGATTTACTCTCATCAGACTCTTATCACTCGGAGCTAGACTCGTCAATTCATAGCATGGCTGTGTTTCGGTCCAGACTCCAAATCGCTGGTCAGATTTTTAGTCTCTTCACACCTATCCTACGAAATATCATCAAGGTGGCGGATTCTTGACGATAGCAGTCAAAAAACTTTTCAGTTTGGTGCAGTTTGTGTTTGTCGTGGTAAGTTGTGAGAACGTTTTCTCATCCTTAGAGTCCTGGTGCTTTTTTATAGAGCGTCGTTTTTGGATGAACATTTTTTCAGACCTTCTCGACGTTTTTCACGCAATGCGTCGACTATGAGGTTCTCTTCGCTGATAAAAATTTGACTACTACGGGTGAAAAGATTACTGGAAAGCGGAGTTTTGATGTAAGTTGCTCTTTTCGATGTAATCTGAGTTGTTGAGCTAACTTCTCCGTTCAATCTTGTTTCATCCACCTGAGGAGTCGGTCCCGAGTAGAGTTCTTTTATAAAACGGGGCTCTCATAGCTACTTGTCGTTTTATACTGATTCTTTGGCAGTGGCCTACTCTCTGAGTGCGACCATCTTTTCAGTCGGATTCGCAAGAAATACATAAATATTGATTCAGAATGAAGTATATTTTGCAATAGGTCTTACTATTTGAGTTTGACAATTGTCTAAGTTGAATCTGTAGCCCTTAAGAGTGGTGATCAGTTGTCTTAATATGTTTTAGCCAGCTTAGTCCAGTAGTAGCTTTTTAGGACGCCATTGTTGCGAATTGTGCTAGTCACTTACATCCGCTAGTCGTGTTTTCAATACTCGTGGCGACTGTTTTTTGGATTTTGCGTGTGGTGAAGACAACGTACTATTTGCTGGAACTACACGAGGTGAGAAAGCAGTTTTTTTCAACTTTCGCTGTTGTTATAGTGAGCTCTTTATCCGTCAGTATATGCTTTCTCAATACTATTGCAGAATGTCTGTAATTTATTTATTTGTTGGTTTTTGTGTATTTTGAAATTTTTTTGCATAGTGTTGCATTGATTCAGTTAATGGGCGAATGTTGCATTTTTGCGTTCAGATCCAACTTTTCTATCGTTCTGCTTTGCTTATCAAAGATGCTCAATTGTCGAATCTCAAATGGCATGATGTCGTTCAACGAATCTGTGAGGTAAATCTTCCGAAGCCTTTCATTTCATTGTGATTGTTTTGAATTTAGTGCTGATTTTAATAACGATTTCATCTATTAATAGTTTGAAAGCGGAGGGAATTCCAAAAACATTCCTTTTAGGTGCAAAAGCATCTTCATCTGAAAGTGGATCGTGATAATATAACTCCATTTGACTTGTATAATCGAATACTGAGGTTTAAAAACTATCTAGTTGCATTAGTGAATACGGTGAGTGGGGTTTCTTTGAACATATGGCACTCTGTTTCTTCAGAACTCTTGTTCTGACCATTGGAAAATTGTAGCTAAGTACCTTTGTTCAGCGAGTACTTCCACCGGTCCTCAATGTGCCTTTTATTGGTCCCGTGCCCTATCTCCCAAATGGACTGAAGTCAAATTTGCGGCGAATTTTATTTTTCGGGTAATTTCTATTCCTGTGATACTCCCTGCTTAGAGACAAACGAGTAGAATGAGCACAGTTACCGCTATAGGTCTACGTCTCCGTGGGCTGGACCATATCTTGAAGGATGAATACAAAGATTTGGATAATCTCGAGCTGTTAACAAGGCAAATGGAAAAAGATGTGAGTACATACATATAAGTCACTGTTTTGCTTTCCATATTCTTGCCTTCGCAAAACTCGACCAAATGTTGATAATCTGTTACGCTCTTGTTCAAGGTCGCCATGTATGGGTTTCTGAATTTGATCTTCTTCCCATTGATATTTCTCTATCAAATTTTATATGCTTTCTTCACGTTATCCGAACTAATAAAACGGCGTCGTGATGCTCTAGGAATGCGCAGATATTCGAACTACGGAAGGTAGGTGTTCACATGTCTTTTTTCACTAGTTAGTAGGTATAGCTGCCACAGATCATCTATGACGTTTACCAAGAGTTGTTATCTTTTAAGATACCGCGTGAGGCATTTTAATGAGCTCAATCATGAGCTCACGGCACGTCTAAATAGATCGCATGTTCATGCAAATGCTTACTTGAATCCAGTTCACCTCGGCATTAACGGAGATATTTGCTAAGAATGTCGCATTTATTGCTGGAGCCATTGCCGGCGTTTTGGCCATTCTTTCGGCTTGGGACGAGGACGTACTACAGGTTTGTCTCATCCATTTATTCAAGCAATAACTTTTTTTTTGTTTAACCGGTATTTGTTTCATCTTTGAGCGGTTTTTTAAGCACGTCATCATCTTCATCAGGCTTAGCAGCATCTGTTCAATTCAGCTGCTTAGATGCAACTTGTAAATGTTATGTGCGTATAACCAAGTTCTCCTTGCGAATGCACTGCGAGTTGTAAAAGGAGAAGATCAGGTTTTGGGTATACGTAAGCGCGGAGATGGTGCCAAAGATAGGAATGCCGAACGGGTTATGCCATGTTTATTAGTAGCCAAATGCCTCCGACTGGTTCCATTGAAAGACCCCACACTGCTATCTACATAGTGTGAGAAGTGAAATTGAAATGGTGTTTAACGTAGCTTTGTTTGTCGTAGAAGCTACTTCTCCATTTTTCAGGTAGAGCACGTCCTGACTGTAATCTCAGTTTGTGGTATCGTTATGGTGGTGTGTCATGGTATGATGTCGGATGAAAATCTAGTTTGGCAGCCGGAAGCGCTAATGACACATATTGCAAGCGAGCTGCATTATGTGCCGACGGAGTGGAAGGGACAGGTATTACCGTTGGATATTCAGAATTTCCCGTAGGAATTAGAGCAAGAGTTATGTTACTACTGCCCTTGATCTCAAGGCCTACCGTTAGCAAATTGAAGTGGAAAGCGCTCAAAATCATTTCACAGTCAATATGTTGTACTGATGAAACCCTCTCCTGCCACCCCCTCCCCCTCCCCATATATTAGAAACTGTGCCCAAATTTTACTCGTAATGGTTCTGCCACTTCGACCGAGTAGCCACGATTAAGTTCTACTAGAGTCCCATCTTGCATTTAAGTTTGGAATATCGTAATCTTCTTAGCAACGAAATTACGCATAAGCGCTCTCTCACTTGGATTTCGGTCTGAAGAATGCTACTGGGAATGTTCAAGCACTAGCTCCACAAGCGTGATTGCCAAAGTTTCTGCTGCGAGATTTTCAAACTTTCCAACGTTCCTCTCTAACAGTTTTTATAATAGCACTTCTTTTGGCTCGGCACTATGGTAAGTGATTTTTCTGCTTTTTTTCATGCACATTCAAACCTAGGCCCACACGGAGCAAGTTCGCCGTGAGTTCGAGCAGCTGTTCCAGTTGAAGTGGGTATTCTTACTGTTGGAGCTGAGCAGTCCTATTCTGACGCCATTTATCCTTCTATTTTGGTAGGTTTTTTTCATTCTGATATATTTGATCCTCCTTCTTCTTCACACCTTCTGGTAACACACTGTCCGATAAGCACTGACTGAAGTGTTTTCTTGTTTCTACCGAAAGTACGAGTAATGTAAGACCCTTTAGGATCCGACCAAATTTGTCGTGAATTGGTTCGCTTCTTTCACGACAACACGGTACGTGTCGACGGTCTAGGTGATGTGTGCTCGTACGCATTAATGGATGTTGCAAGGCATGGCGATGTGAAATGGAATGGTTCTACATCACACCCAACCGCTGGTAAGTTAAAAATTGGACTAAAGTTCTCTACAATTTTCCATTTGCTTTAGATAACTAGGAAAATATTCGAAATATTCGAAGGCACTAAACCATTCTTCTTTTGAGTTCACTATTGACGTAGAATTATATGGCTTCTGTTTGCGATTTTAATTATTCCCTTGAATTTAGCGCCGGCATTTGATGGGAAAACCGAACTCTCTATTCTTCACTTCGCGTCCAACAATCCGGAGTGGAAATGTCCGCCTGCAACTGAGCAGTTCTTGCAGAGGTTCAGGGCCAAGGTAAGTGTGCATGTTGTGAGTTTAGTTGCAAAAGTTGGTGCTTTCAACGTCAAAACTTAAGCTGGAACATGACGTCAACGCAGCTATGCAGCCAGTTGGTTTGAACGAGGAGCGAAATCTGTTACTAGACTCCATGCATTCGATAATGCCGTCGATAAGGGCAGCACCGTACAGGAACAATGTAATAGGTGAGCTTCTCATCCTTTACTCTCAAACTTTTGAAATGGAGCGAAAACTTAAGAGCGATGCGTCTGAAATGCCATCTGCAAAACTGAAGAGAATTCATCTTTTTTTTGTTGTTGGAAACAGTTGCATTTAGGTGAAGGTTTATATCCAGCTCACGTGGCTCCAGATTCAATTCTTTGTGGTCTTCTTCCTACCCTTTACCAAACCAATCCGCAAGGTGCTGATTCGTTGACGCGTAGTCTCCAGCAGAGCGGTAAGAATGAAGTTTCACCAATTTTTCTCTTCTGATTGCGCTTTTTTTGGAGAAAGCAAGTATTTTTGTAAAAGTAACAGTTTAGTATCTTTTTGCAGGTATTGATTTGGATTCCGCAGGAGCTGATATGCGTATCAAAACGCTATTCCTTCGTGAAATGCATGGAGAGAGTCTACGAAGGAGCAGCGCTCCTATGCCAGGTTATGGTGCCAGCATGGCTGGTGTTCATGCACAAAGCGTTTTTGGGGTGCCGCAGCTCAGTCAGATGGAAGGTATGAGATTCTTCAATATTCGTTAAAAATTGACGTCAGATGGGCATGCGCTCCACTTTTGCACACGAATGAGACGCGTTTCTCGATTCATTTGGCATTCTCGTGACTCAAATATCCGGTTTCATTATCGGATCCGCAAATTAGTGCTTCATTGAAAGGTGTCGGAGTTATTGAAGGGGTAGTGGCGATTTTGCAAATACTAAAAACAGACACCAAGTTACATATACAGCGGCTGTCGTCAATATGTGATTCTTTCTCCTACTCTTACCGAAGTCTGTCGTCTCATTTGTTGATATGATAAAATTTGTGACCCTTTCACTTTTAAGAGTCGGTGATACCTGAGAGCGACGCCCGTAGCCGCTTGATAGTCCGCCCAAATCTGCCGGGAACGAGTGAAGAAGAGCCGGAAGACGAACGTAGATGTCAAGAAGAAGCTGACGAAGAGCTTAGACGTCAACAGGATGAGGACGATAATGAACGTCCACCACACTTTATGAACGTATGAAAGCGGAGATGACTGGAGTGTTGCTGTACGGAACCATGCTATGATGTTTGGAGTAGCAAAGAGGTCAGTGAAGGAGCGTTAACCTGCTCGCACTCTTATGGCCGTACCGTCCACGCCTTCTGGAAAACATTTACCTTTCTCAGCAGAATAACAGCTATTATCAGTTTTATTATTCATTCGTTTAAAGTGTTGCTAATTTTCTCGACATTGATTTCCTATTCCTCTTTTTTTTTAAACAATGAGCATGATTGCTTTAATTTTCAAATTGCTCCGATAGGAACATGCATGAAATCCTATAAATGTGCCTCACTGTTTCATGATGTGCATAATTCCGTGTTTATGTAGATTTCCTCTTCACTTTTCCTATTTCTCAATACCCGCTGAATGTATGTATATACTTACTTACATAGGGAATGCTCAATTGGTGACATTTTTGGAGAGACACAATTTTCGCTCTCGGTCAGTGTGAAAGATACTAGTGCGGTAGTCAATGCATGTGTTTCTTGAAGCCTTCGATTTCGGTTTTTCGGCATATTATTTTGCAGTCCATTTTTGTTGTACATCTTTTCTTATGCCTGCTAGCATGTGTCATGCTGCTTAACTCTCCCAGTCGTCATATTTTTATCCATAGGGATGAGCGAAGTTTTTTATCTGATTTTTTACGAAGGAGGTTCAGGAAGGAAAAAAATAAGTTCGCATAATGATTGAGACTGAATGACACGATCGAAAGAGCATATGCGTGTGCTGCACATACTTCATGATTTCAGTGCACGAACCAGTGTCAATTTAGTACTCGAGATAAGGGAAAGGGTAGAAGGCCTTGATCATATGACAGCAGTGCGGTGTGTGGTAAGTAAAGGTTCAGTTCCCGGGGCCTGCATTCCATCAGTGCTCAATGAAACTCCGAGAAAATGGGCAGTGGGCCAGCTAGCCCACACCACGATAGCAACCTTACTCCGAAAGACATCTTGAAAAGAGCATGTTTCGCACCTAGACATAGCTCACTTCACTAAACACATTTTCGTGGTGATCTAAAGAGGTGGTTGACATTCTAATTCTCAGTTTTGAGTAAACTATGGATGTTTAATCCTTAATTCTGCCAATCCTCATTCGATTTGCTCATCTCTTTTAAGATGTAACCTGTTACATGTTCTGGTCAGATAGTAATCTCTAGAGAATGCTGTAGAGAATTCTTGAAATATCAAATTTATGATGCATTTGAAATGTGTAGGGTTTTCAATGTTACTGATAATTGCACGAGTTGCAGGGAAAGTGGTCCCGCTTTGTTCGTTTTGCAGGTTTTTTATATGGTTGCCCTTCCGGCAGCTTCTTCATGTACATGTCGCATGTTTTTCTTGAAATGTATGTACATTTCTAGTCGATCCGCTTCCTGTTTATCATTTCGTATCTATGCTGGTTCTTGTTTTATATTAACGCTACGCATTCTCGCCTGTGGTAGACTTTACCTAGTTCCTCACTTGTAATGTTTGCCTCAATTTGTACAAAGTGTTTTTGTTTTTGTAAATAAAACGATTTGGATACAAAACATCTGTATGTGTGTTTTCCTTGGTGGTTCCATGCTATAATATATGCGACAACAAACAGATAAAGAGAGGTATTTTTGAAGATGGGAGTAACTCGATTTGGTCTGTACTTGTAGATGGGTGATGAAGCGCCTCGGAGAACATTTCCGAAGAAGCCTGCTTCATTCAACATGAACAAGGGCAATTTCAAGAAAAAGGCGAGGTTTTTTTCAATAGTTTGCTCTACGGTGTTGCAAAAGAACTTTCCTGAGTTGTTGTGTATTTTCGATGCACAGTAGCGGTCAAAAGTGTTCGCCGATACGGTCTTCCCTGCTTCTCTTTTTTTTGCCAGATAAAATAGTGGTGATCTTGAGAATTTTTTGTTTTGATATCCTGATTCTTTGATATTATCAATCTTTAGAAAGCGTTGCTCAAGCGAGAAAAAATAAAGCGCTAAAAGTCGTTTCGGCGAACACTTTTGACCGCTACTGTAATTATGACTTCTGCGATGGTTTGCTTTGGTAACTTGCTGTAATGTGATGTGAATACAGAAAGGATTGCTTATGATATTCCCTTATGGATAAAGTAAGGTTCTCCACTGGGCAGATGCACATAATGAACATGCTGGCCATGCGCTTTATAAGTCGAAATGATGGTAAGAAACTTACTGAATACGAAGGTGAAGTGACCACTAGTGCGGTGAATTGTAAAGACCTCCAAGGTTCTTTTTTATGTTCTTCATTTCCTGCTCAGAGTCTCTAGATAGCTTGGCTATTTTTTTCCTCCTGTGAAACTGTTGATCCTCATGATTTGATCTCCCAATGCTTTAGGCTCGAGAAGCATCGTACGGTGGCAAAGTATTGCAGCGAAAACCAGCTCGTTATTTCACTGTAAGATTGCAAGGATTACTTGTTTTTCTTCTGGCTCGTTGAAATGTTGGATGTTTTGTAATACAAGGTTACGTTACAAAAGTACCATCGCTATTGCAGGCGGATTTGACCGAAGACGGAGGTGGTCCAGCTCGCGGCAAAAGCAAGCCAAGAGTAGCACATGGTATGAAGAAGGCTAAAAATGGGTGAGGATTTTCAAATCCAATCTTTTAGTGGAGATTTAGAGCTATGTATTTGCTATCATTGGTAAAATTTAGGAAAGTGAAAAATGGTAGCATGAAAAAAGTGAAGAGGCTACGTGGCGAAGCTGTGAAAGGAACGTGCATTGAACACAGGATGCTTGGTGGATTCGAGGACGAGATGTATGCATCTGACGAAGACCTTGTGGACGTTTCTGACATGA